TACTCAATGAAAATAGAAAAATCTCATCTTCTATTACTCATGAGACAAATAATAGATAAAAATGTAATAAAAATATAACTAAAATAAACGGGTCGGGTACGGGGCGGGTAATGGGGCGGACATGTATAAAACCGTAACCGCCCCGTTACCCGAAAAAAACAAAACGGGTATTCCCCGTACCATACCCGTTACCCGGTCAATGCGGGTTTCCCCATTTTGACCGGGGCGGTTCGGTGCGGGTATCTATTGGATCGGTCACAATTGCCATCTCTACTTGCTTATATTAAAATAAACTACAGCCAAAAGAGTACATCAAACTCAAGCTGAAAACCTAAATTCTCAATAGACTCAAAATCCAAAAATTCTTTCGCTCTATGATCAGACATATAATTAGTCACCCTCAAATAAGGATATCAAACCGCAGACCATGTGAGAGCTTTGAAGACAAATATGACTTTTGGAGCCACAAAGCTTCTAATTGGGGTGATAAACACCCTAACAACACAACTAATTCACTTCCAACCCAAAACATTATTGAACGCAACATTGTGAAACAGAAACAAATACTTATGAAAACTAACATAACAAAAAATTAAAAATTCTTCAGGTGCCCAATCCATAGTAGAATTGTTAACTTCCAATCCATAGCATCTTTGTCACTCTCCGGCGGTGGTTTGGGAGGGGGGCGAACCATCAACACTTCATCTTCACAAACGACCACCCACTGAATCGGCCAAAACAATAGCAACACTTCCCCCCAATAGCCGATTGTAGCCCCAATTTGCCCCTTTCTCTGGACTCCAAACCACCAGCGATCTACCTGGATCAACCGCCACACGTGCAACTTCCATCTTAGGTGATAACAAGGCCAAAGTACCCATAACAAGCATCTGAAAATCAAGCCTTGCAACCCTATCCGACACATATCCAAGGCCACCTCCTATTCCATTGAACGCTATTGACATCACCCGCACCAAGAGAAGATGGAAAAAGCCCCAAGCTTCAATCGGCATAGACCGCCACACAAAGAAAGCCCTATGTGAAAAGACTCGCGAGGGAAATCTAACCCAAGATGAACTGCTATCTTCCACTTTTTGCGGCCAAGTTTGAACTTTTTTGAATGACGAAGTATTAAAAATGCTTTACATACACATGAAATAAATTTTTGTAATAGTTTAGCATCACATCCATTTTTACTACAAGATGTAATTCACATAAAATTGTAATATTTGACAAAAGGTAAAAATAGTTTTCATAAACTTCATATTAATATTTAATACGGTAGTGATGAGGTTTATTCCTCTCGACCCAAGGGCCCAACACACCGGGCTTTCGTAAGAGTTTGGTGGTATATTTTAATGGGTTATGTATGTGAACTATTTGATGGCACAAGTATTAGCAAGGAAAAATAAAAAGGTAAGTGGGTTGAGTTCTATGAAAGACTTAGAACAATTACAACATACCCTACCGAGCCGAGCGCCGATCCTCTATTCTAAGCTGAGATTACATAGAAGACTGGAGAAGGCTTTAGCTAAAAAGCATAAGTTGTCAACCCCTAACAATGAAATAAATGTTACAATTTATATTACCATGGGGTAGATGGTAGTGGTGATGTGGATGATCTTGAGTGCTTAATCCCCAACCGTAAAATCTTGCATATCTAGTGCATTAAATGCGTTTCCCGCCTAAATCCTTGCTTTCAAGCCAATATTCCAAGGCTGTCGGCCTAGAGTCTCCAAACGATAGTCAAGGTGAATCACCCAAGGACCTTGTGCCGCTCGGCCAGCGCCGCACGGCTAGGGCCGCGCGGCCCCGAGCCTTGGCGGGTTTCTAGATCTATTCGTTTGCGGGGATATTGGGCCAATTACACCAACATGTAGTATTACTAAAATACTTTCAAATCTCTATAATGAAAAAACAAGATTGAATGTAATTCAAGTATTGATAAGAAATAAAAGAGGGGAAGAGAATTGATATGTATTGTTGATGTGTTTGTACAATATTTTATGAAAACTATTTAATATTAAATTAAATTCAAAATGGACATGAATTTAGAAGCAAATGTGTTATTATCAGTGCTTTCTATTCTTCTTTCTAGTCATTCAACATACAAAAGAAAAAGAATAAAGAATAAAGAATTTAACATTGCTAGCCTTGGGTCCTTTTTTTTTTTTACGAAGGGGGCTTATATTAAAATTAAAGCATTCAGAAGGGGACTAAAATAACAAAAGCACTACCAGTAACCATCCTCCCTTGGGTCAGACTCTGAGTTAATCACCTTTAAAAAAGCAATATAACTCGTTGATCCTAAACTGGGCATAATTGAGCCAACAATGGTTACTGCAGAACTCTCGTCACCCAATCCTAATTCAAGAGTCTTACAAATCCAAACATAACAAAAACAAAAAATAACAGTCTTAACGTGAAACTTAAAATGCAAAACAACAATAAAATAAACACCAAAATGAAGTTTCTTCAACCACAGCCTCACGCACGCGACAGGCGGGTCTAAGAGGTCAGGCCCGCCTCCTCCCTGTTTTTTTGCTTTGTCCAGTGCCATCTCCTCTCCAGCTGTGTCTTCCTGTGTCGGATCCTCCCAAACTCTCCTGCAATTCTGATCAACCGAAACCTCCCGTGCACTGCTTCTACCCTTAGAGCCGTCTAATGAATTTGGAGGCCCCGTTCCGAACGCAAAATCGAGGCCCTATTTTAATATTAAGAATTAAAAAAATCAAACGAAATACTTATACTGAAATAATGTGAATACTCATCAAATATTGTAATAACAATTCTAAAAATCACTTAATAGTTGATTTAAAGCTACACAACTCATCACTCAATCAAGTAAAACATGAGTAAGAGTACTGACAAAAAATAATTATTTTATTGATTAGTATTTATTTATATTATTGCTATGTAATACTAATAATTTTTTTGGAAATTCGGGCCCCAGAAATCGGGAGGCCCTGTTCCGTAGAGCATGTTGAACATGCTGAATGTCGACTCTGTCTACCCTCTTCCTTTGTACCGCTATTTTCTATCTCATCTGTAGTCCCCCTGCGCCCTTGTCTCATAATGCCTTCATCTTCTTGATAGACCCTCATTTGTTGACTTGGACCCACCTGTTTATCCACCAACCACTTACTACCCCTTGTGGGACTAGTCTTCCCCCCTCCTCCTGCTCTAAGTTCAACACTAAAGGTTTTTTCCAAGACAATTTCTTCCACATATTTCAATGGGCAAAATTTCTTAGAGTGTCCCATTATCCCACAAATGAAACAAAAGTTAGGTAACTTCTCATACTTAAAATCTACTCAATGTCCTTCACCTCCTTTTGACAAAGTAGATCCCTTTTTAGGGGTCTTCTCAAATCCATCTTCACCCTAACTCTCAAGTAAGAATTCCATTTTTCCTTAAAATGGCTCTCATCAAAACTAATAAATTCCCCAATATAGTTACTCACTCTTCTAGCAGTGCCTACATTCATAAATTTATACGGAACATTGTGCACTTGCACCCAAAACTCTGCTTCCAACAAATTCATTTTATGAGAGATATCATTTGGACCAACCACCTTTAACAGTAACAAATTCCTCTCAAACAGCCAAAGACCATCCTTCATAACACGATTCATATCAACTATATGATAAAAAAGTGAATAAATACCTCTTATAATCAATTTCTTGGATTGACATTCCTTTTCATGGCCTCCAGATCGAGGCAAACAGGTCCTGCACAGCCTGAAGTCTGACTTTTCGATTCGTAAGAATTACGTCCACCACCGGGTATTCCGCCCCTTTTGCAACAGGATCAAGAACATCTTCCTCCTCATCATCAAAATTGAGATTATTGTTATTCTCTTCCAAAGTCATCCTTTTGTATTGCTCCAACTCCTCCTCCATAAATTAGAGAAAAAAGCTCTGCTGCCACCTTCCTATCTGCCGGAACTAGCCCCGCTCGATGCAGACGCCGAACGAAGCCAACCTCCGCCTCGAACCTTCGAACGCTACCAAGCACCCACCGAGCACACCACCAGCAACCCAACTCCTCTCTTCGTCCCTGCCTTATTGCCGCGGCTGAGGCGAAACGGATTGGGAAAACACGAGCCTCGAGTCCTTATTGTAAAGTGATTAGCCAATTAAGATATTGATTTTGAACTTTTAAGTAGGAATTATTTTTATTAAACACGTGAAAGCATTAACTATTATTGTCAATTTTATCAAATAAAAAATATCACGCTTTATTAATTCAGTACATTTTTTGTTGGGCTTTGGTCCTTTTGAGCATTTATTATTACACACACAACCTTTTGTGACCTTGTTTTGCGGCTTATAAGGTTTATTAGCCATGCCAAATTTTTCACGAAACATATACTCCGTAACTTTTAATTTCACGTGCTGAATTGTGTAAAATTAATAAAAAGAAAATTGTAGTTATTTTTTCGGCCATGTTGGCTGAAGTTATTCTAAATGATCATTTTAACTATTTTTCATATATATATATATATATATATATATATATTTCTTTATTTTATTGATAAAATATATTTTAATTTTTTTTTTCATAAATCAATATAATCAGCCAATTCAACTAGAACTTCTTAAATTTCAACAAAATAAACGAATACACTCGATTTGGATATTACTAAACAGGCTCTAAATGTAATGGGAGGAGTTATAAAAATGAAAATTCTCAAAATAGGAGAAAAGCAACATGTCATATTTTTTGCTTTTGGGATCAAGACTTGGATATATTGTTCTAGGAGACTTGGATATAAGAATTATCATATTTTTTTTTCATAAATAGGAGTAAAATAATGTCATTATGAAACTATTATGTTGTTATAATTTGATATTATCAAATATCAATCACGTTAATATTGAATCAAAGTCGTAAGTGTTGTCAAATACGGAGTAATAATAATTACTTATGTTCAAGAAAAAACATACGGATGAGTAAAAATGTGATTTTTTATAGAAAGACAAAAAGTGGCCATGATATTAACTTTCAGTAACTAGGGAGTATTGCCGAGTATTATGTTAAATCTTACATGCCTTTTAGAACATGGCCTTGTTTCTACAGTAACAAAAATTAATTTCTTAAACTCAATGAGAATAAAACTAAAATATGACAGGAAGAATGTAAAAAACATAAGTTGATTTCTTAAACTCAATGAAGGAAAGGAAACAAGAAACAAGTTTCAATGGTATGAGATCACAAGAATTATGATGCCACTCCCAATGTAAAAGGATATGACAACATGTGAAATTATTATATATATGCAACTCAAAGAAGTTTGCCAGTGGGATGGACTAAATAAGAGAGCTGCTCAGATCATGTGTAGCCAACCGCCCCATTGGCACCGGTTGCTGCACCATTTCTGCTAGCCCGGGAATAGTTAGCATAGTAAAACTGAGACGTTATTCCGGTGAAGAAGACGAAGGCTGCTCCAGCAGCGAAAATGCCCTTCCGCACTGTCTCACAGGACAGTGTGGTTCCTCGGAAGGACGATCTGTACTTGGTGTGATAAGCATTCCTCACTGAACCAGCCAGCAGGAGTACCTCTGCTATGAAAAATGACACCCTGCAGGATGGAATCCCACTTTTTGTTGAATCAATCCAGTTTTAATTGGTTGAATCCGGTGAACTCAATGAAGTTGATGAATTTACGATTGAAATGGTTGAATGTGCTAAATTATGAAAAATTACACGTATAATAAAAGATAGAACAAATCATACCATGTGAAAAAGTTAAAGCAGACCTATTCATCAAATCCAATAGCGTATTTAACCATAACTCTTATTTTACACATTTGAATTATTACAATACATGAAAATGAAAGATTATTAGATTAGTTTGTATTAAGGGGAAAATGTGATAAAACTGTCTCTAAGAAGTAAGAACCAAGAGGTAAAACAGTAAAGACTAATTAAATAACAAATGATGAATAGAAAGCTAAATATTTGAAACATATATACATACCAGCAGATGAAGAAGAGGAAAAGAGCGCAGGAGCGTGAACCTCCACGATTGAGAGGCTTGCCACAGCAGAAGCAACGGCTGGCCACCATGATAAGAGCTTGACTAGCCATGACCAATAACAAGGCACCGACTCCATACCCAGTCGCAATGTCAGATGCATACACGCAGTAATCAAACTTCTGTTCTGCATCGCTCTCAATCTTTGCCTGTAAATTTCCCCAACAAATGATAATTACAACTATGCACTAAAGCTGGTGATGTTTAAATTAAATACTGTGTGGTGTATAGTATTTGAATCAACGCAACGAAGGAAATGAAGAGGCCGTAGTCACAACTCAAGCAAGATTCACATTTATTTAGGTTATTACAGTGCTTCTTCTGCGCTCGGCTGCAATCGCCAAACCAAAAGCAATTAGATCAAATATAAACACAGTGATCATTAACAACTTGGAAGCCATGCTTGAGTGAGTGGAGAATTTCGAGTCGGAGATTAGGTGGAGAAGAGAAGGTTCATTCGGTTTACACAGATCTCGATTTTCAGATCTCAATCTCTCTCTTCTCTCACTCTAAATATCTACCTAATGTCGGTCAAGATATAATTTTTCACTCCCGGTGACAGCATCATAGATTTCATTCTCCACCAGTGAACTTCCCCTCCATCTTAAAATCTCAATGTTAATTTGAATAACTTCTAAAAGAAACGGCAAAAGCGCAAACGGCAAAGGTTATGGTACAAAATTAAACGTTTTTACGTCTTTCTATCCACTCTTATATCCACTTTTTAGATCTGTACAAAAGCGGGTTCGGGCCGGACTCGGGCCAGGCTTTTCATAAGTTTTCTGCCCATATGTGTGGGCGGGCCCAGCCCGGCCCGCAAAAACAGGCCTAACCCCATGTCCATGCCCGCCCGTAAGAGCGGGTCGGGTAGTCCACCGGGCCGCCGGGCCCGGGAAAACTTTAAATTTTTCAAAATCATATAATTTATTTAATACTTTATAAATAATATTACAACATTTAAAAAACTGCTAATATGCTTATAATGTATATAGGCCTTTCATCACATTTACAAAAAATATTTACACAAAAATAATAATGAGAAACTGTATCTAAAATTTAAAATTCATGCACAAAGTATTATCTTTAAGTACAAAAATAGACATTATATTGGTTGGACTGTTTGTTAAGAACTAAAAACTTAAATTTAAACATAATAAACTATAAATATGTATACAGATAAATTAGTAAATATAAAAATATACATGTGTACATGTAAATAAATACATAAATTAGTATATATAAAAATATATATGTGTATATAATAAATTTAGCGGGCCGGGCTTATCGGCCTGAACGGGCCTACACCCTAACCCAAGTCCGCCCATATGTTGTTGCGGGCTGGGCCCGGGCCGGGCCCGGGCCGGGCCGGTGGGTAAATATATATGCCTAAGCCCGCTAATTTGTGCGGGCGGGCTGGGCGGGGCGGGCGGGCCGGCCTGGTTTTGTACAGGTCTACCACTTTTGTACCCACTATGTCTATGAGTTGTATGCGAATCGGAGTCACAGACACAAAAAAACTCCCCACAGGCATTACGGGTATATATGATGGATATAAAAGTGTGTACAAGAAGAAGCTCTCTGGTTTAAAAGTACCTGCGTAGATAGACGGTGTGTGCGAATGAGGTACAAAAATTGGGGTACACTAGCATTTCTCATTTTGGTTTTGACACAATTTTTAATAAATTGATTGTAAAGGTAAAATTTGTGGTTGAGATTTGAGTATAATAGAGTGAAATATTGTCAATCATACATTTCTTTCTAAAAAAGGAAATGTGACACTTATTTTAGGACAACCCAAAAAAGAAAAGTAAAACAAGTAAAATTGGATGAATGTAGTACTATATCCGTTCCACTAACATTGTGATATGAGGGGTAAAATAATTTTTAAGATAAGTGAGTATGTGGTTGACATGAGTTTTTTATATATATATTACTAATACTAGTTGAGTTTACATATATGTGACCATTACTTACGAAGACGTACGCCAGGCTTTTAGTAATGTAGGGAAATGACATTGGTGCCCTAAAACGGTTATGGAAACAGCTTAATCTCAGGAATTTTGGTGTAAAGTAGCAAGGTGTATTCATTACGTAATGAAGAGTGAAACAATTCATTCGAAGCGCAAAGCAATAAACCACACTTGGAAGGGCGATTATTTTGGGGTGCGAAAGTCAAGAAGAGGCGACCATCGGAGGGTGCGAAGGTCAAGAACAGGGCGATCATAGGAGGGTGCGAAGGTCAAGAAGAGGCTGATTTTTCAGGTTGGATCCTCTGTTCATGAATTACTTGAGCACGATTCTGATGATATTTGGTGTGCGTTTCGTGTTTTGGGGTGTGAGTAGTTAATAAAGATGTTCTAGTATTGAATCATTAGTAATTGTGAGGTAAAGGATAAGAAAATTCTGGTAAAGGATGTATGTTGGTTTACGATGGTGATTTTTCGGTGCAAAGGGGGTAGTTAGTAAAGATGATCTAGCATTGAATAATTAGTAATTGTGAAGTAAAGGATAAGAAATGACGGTAAAGCGTGTATGTTGGCCGATGATGGTGGTTTTTAGGTGCAGAGGGGGTATTAATGACGCTGTGGTAATGAATTTTTAGGTAAAGATGATTAAGAATAGTTGTTCAATGTGTTTGATCAGTAGAGTTTAACATAGTACAGAAATTGTAGTAAGGAATAGTTGTTAAGTGTTTGAACAATTTGTTTGGCGACTGAATACAGAAAGATTTGATGAAGGATTGACGTGTATGTAGTAATGACGTGTGAGTAATGGTAAACACCAAACATCTACAAATGACGTATAAGTAGTAATGACGCACTAGCATGAAGGACGTCTCGGTCGTAATGATGTATTAGTAATGAAAAGAAATAACAGTTTAGTAAATGAGGTAGGGAAATGAATAGAAATTAAAGAATATAGTAGTGTAGTAATGAATCCGGGTGGTAGTAAGTGATTGGTAAGAGCAGTGCTGACTACCCATTGTGAAGGTCGATACATACGATCTAGGTGTCTAGTGATGTATCCATTGTGTTTAAAAACATGTCTGATATCCGCGAGTATACATCATGCTTTTTGTGTGAGATATTATTACTACCGGTGATTATTAAAAATCATTATCGACAAATGGTCGAAGTCATCTAGTACACAAAGTTGTGATTTTTTTTTTGCAGCAACATGGAAGCATTGTTAGTCACAGTGTTGGTAGGGGATGGTTGGGGTGAAAAGAAGGAATTTCAAACCAAATCCATGCATGTTATGCCGTTATGGTCCTCAAGTCTTCGACAAAGTATGAAGATCTAGTGGCACAGCTAAGGGATTTATTAAAAGTTGATAAAGAGGATCAGAATTCATGAATCTCATACCTTTTTTATGAGGCTTTTACACCTACAGTTGTGGACAATGAAATGAGCCTGCAGTTCTATTGGTGAATTTGGATCAAGACAAAAGTACACAAGATGCAAGCAACATGGGCATAACCAAAAGACTTGTAATAACCCGATACCATTGTAAAAGATGAGAGATTGTGTTGCAATACTTCCGTTTTTATTTGTCATTTTCCCCCAGCAACTGGTAGTCATCAAGATACTAGAGGATTTCATATTTCATTTATGCACTTGAAGTATGGTTTTAGTTTATGAATGAAAGTACACTTGAACTATGATTTTATATACTTGTATATACACAACTGAAGTTAACATTTCAGAGCATGAAAATAGTTTAGGTAATATAGTGTGAAGTCATTATTGCCAGAATTCTAACATTGCATTTATTCCCAAGTAAGGGGGCATGAGTGTGACTTGAATGGCTGCAGCGTGATGTTTATGTCCATAAATTAGTGAATATTTTGCAAAGAGATGAGAAAAGTTAGTGGGGTTTTGGATTTGTAGTACAAGACATCATGACAAGACTGCAATATACATAGTGAGCAATAATTTTTTTAACAGATCCTTTATGATGAAAGTCAAGGAACTAGTCTGGAATGATATTTTTTTCATACTCCCTCTGTCCCGTTGGAATGTTACCGTTCACTATTCATTGGTCAACTTAGGTCACTCCTAGTCTTTTACTTTAAATATCAAATTTTTATCAAATTGAACTTTTCTTGATCAGGCTTTGTAGCGGTTTTAATGTAGTTTCTGAATATGTAAATTTTATTTATTAAAAATAAGCGGAGTGTGAACAGGGATCGAGTTGCTTTATCGTCAGTCAAGCATCGTAAACCGAACGGGAACATTCCAACGGGACGGAGGTAGTATGATTTTTACTTACTGCATTAGTAGTAAGAAGGGGTTTTTATTGCAGAGAATAAACATTTTGAATAACTGACGTTCTCTTGAATTGCAATGAATAGTCTCCAAGATACGTAACATAGCAACAATTATTACAAGTTGTAGTAATTTCCAAGGAAATGGAAGAGTATTCAAAAAAACATCAAAGGTGAGGGGGAAGGGGGACACTAGTGCCAATACACTGGCAGGAAGCAAGGTGCGGGATAATTCAAATTGAAATAACTAATACTTGGTAGATGAAAATTAGTTAAACTTCTTTATTGACGTTCATCTTCAAAAGCTACTCGTCTTCTCCCTTTCGATCCCCATATTGATAGAGGTCGTGAGCCCACTTTGCCCGATACTTTGGAATCTTTGATGAACAAATTTTTTGTATATCAATGCCCATCTGTAGAACTTCTGCAAATTTTAGCATAAAGACAACACAATCTCCCCTGCAAGAAATTTAGTAGTTAAAATATGAAATTTGCAAGAGTAAAGAAATTTCACATTGATGTAATGATTACCCAGTTTCTTGATGCGGTACATCTGTAACGACTTCAAATTTGTATGACGGTGCGTCCTTGAATGGTGTATTTTGGTTGTGGGCCTTTAGTGTAGCTACAACCTTGGGAAGGTAAAGAATTAAGCCACGCAAGTACTCAAATGGACCAAATGTTTTTTTTTTACAGAGTTCCACTTGGTGAGGTTCTAACTTCTGCTTTACTAAAGACACTGAGTCAAAGAGCCTAGAAAATGTGTTTACTTTCCTGTTCTTTATCTGCTTATAGACTAAGGACTTCTTCACCAGCCTCTTGTACAAAGTTAGTAACTAATACTGTCAGAGTTGGTGATGGGGAGGGAACTAAATGTACACAGATGCTATGCACACTTACATGCTTAGGCTTATGTGTGGCTGGGACTTTCACGGATGATCGCAATACTGGTGTTGAAGATGGTGGAGGAGCCGAGGAGTAGTGAAATCATCAATGTCTTCCATGATCTGATTCACAAATACATAGAAATAAGAGCAACATTCAAAGGCATTTTAAATTCTTCTTCTACTTCTATTTTTTTGCTACTTTCTCTCTGTGAATTGTATTTTGGCTGAAGCTTTTATCCATTTTTCCAGTAAGTTGGCTATGTGCTACTTAAACTTACCCTGGGTTTCTTAGAGTTAATGGTAGAAGCACCAAGGGTAGGTTTCATTTTCCAAATCGCCAAGGCTTATATTCTTCTTAGAGACACCAAACCTTTTTTCCCCTGAATTCATTTTAGCTAAAAGTGGAATGAAATCGTCCATTTCGAAAACGTTTATTTTAGCTAG